GTAATGGCATTTCATTTTTATATTGTTTAATTTGAATCTTGAAAAAATATCATTTCTATATAATCACTATTATACCTAATAAATTCTCTTATGAGTTTGTTTACTTGTGGAGAAACAAATATATTTTGAAGAATTATTTTATTTAACTTTATTTATCCATTTGTTTATTTTAATTTGACCAGAGAGAAGGAGGACAGAGAGAGAAGTGAAAAAGCAAGCCGCCAGGTCCAAGTCTCAAACTGCGATCAACCTTGTGTGAGTCCAGCGCCCTTATCCACAATGCCAAATGCCCACCCTGAGAAACAAGATTTTTTTAACTCAGATAAAAATAGAAATAAAGGGACCAGCAGGTGGCGTGGTGGTTAAGGCGCTGGACACTCCCACATGGCTGACCAGGGTTCGAGTCCTGAATCTGGCGGCTTGCTTTCTCACTTCCTCTCTCTTTCACTCTCACCCTCTGTGTCTCTCTGGTCAAATTAAAAATTAAATGAATGAATAAATAAAATAAAATAAATAATTATTAAAAAAATAGAAATAAAGAAGAAATTTTAATGCTTAAAATATTGTGTAGCTATTGCAAATTTGATATCAAGTTTTTAAATGTTAAAGTTCCTAGTAGAGAAGACTCATTCTAGAATATTCTTTTTTCATGCAGTCAGTTTATTTTAAAAATAGTTTCCATTATATAATCATCTGTGATCAATGAATAAAACTTACAATATGTAAGGGCCAGGCCCATAGCACAGTTGTTTGGGTATTTAGCTACAGTACTGGAAGTAGGATCCTGAACCAACTTGAAACATGCCAGGCTCCCTCAAGTGTGTCCAAAATCCAGAAAGATAAAGCCCTGGGAGAAGGGGGTCTAGTCAAGGGAAAAATTTAAAAAGGGGGGGAAGCAATTAATCATTTTTTAGTATTCTTTCCTTAGTCCAATAAAGTTGGCTAAATCACAACTTAAAATAAAATTCCTTTGACGTTTTTCATTCTTCCCTCCCTGTCTTTCAGCTTTGCTACAAGATGACATCTCTCAAGCTGCAGCGTGTGCCAAGAGGGTTGTCAAGGATCCACAAGGCGTTAGAGCGTGGTATATTTTAAGCACTAAACTATTTTACCTACTTTTGATGTATGCAGTGAGAGAAGACTTGCAAAGACCAACGTATGCCCCGGAGAACTGCCAATGGCAGCTTTTGGCTTATGCCAGCAACGCCCTTTGTAGATCTTGGAAGAAACAAACTACTCAATAGATTCAGAATCTTACTCCTTACTCCTCTATTTTTGGGGACTCTTATTTTTAAAAAAAGAGTCTCCATACTCTACAAGTTCCCTGACATATCTTGATATTATTGAAGTAAGTAGGGGATGCCTTGGCCGTTGCTGCTGTCAGAGCCCAGAACCAGCCTTGTGTTCGGCCCCGGTGCTCTCCTGAGGGGGTTGGGGAGGCAGCCGGTGCTCTCCTGAGGGCGTTGGGGAGGAAGCGGTACTGTGGTGCTCATCTCCATCTAACAGGCAGAGCTCCTGGGCCCAGCTAGAGCCTGTGTTTTATTATGGATGCAATGTTCTCTTTCCTTAATGGACTTTAAGTATGCCTATTATAAGAAAGAACGTTCTAACATTTTCTATTTATTTATTTATTTTATTTTTGGAGAGGTTTTTGCTGTAAGGCGGGTGCGCTTGCCAGAAAGACAGAGAGAAACAGAGAGACAGAAAGCGAGAAACCCCACCCCAGGGGAGATGGCCACACCGCAATCCCTTCTCCTCTATTATTCTCTCCAGATCTTGGGCATGCATGCACATGCTCCCAACATGAGTTTAAGCCACCGGGTCCAGAACTCAAACCACGGTCAACTACATGGGAGTCCAAGGACACAGACATTATGCCAAATGCTGGTCTCGTTCTAACATTTTCACTGTGTGCTTCCCCTTTCTCTACAGGGTGGCATGGAGGAACCATTGTCAAAACCAAGATATCTCCCCGTATGTGAGGGGTTGTGGCATATAACTGCAGAGATTCTTCCCTTCTTCAGCTTATTTCCTCTTTTCGCATTAAGGAAGTCGTAGTTAAGTGAAATTCAGATTGCCAACATTCCTTCTTCAGACAAGTAACAGTTTCCGACTTTCCTCCTCCCACAGTCCTCTGCGTTCCTTCTCTCCAGCTTAGGCCCGGCAGAATGACTCCTGCAAAGAAGGGTGGCGAGAAGAAGAAGGGCCGTTCTGCCATCGAGGTGGTGACCCGGGAACACACCATCAACATTCACAAGCGCATCCATGGCGTGGGCTTCAAGAAACGTGCCCCTCGGGCACTCAAAGAAATCCAGAAATTTGCCATGAAAGAGATGGGGACTCCAGATGTGCGCATTGATACCAGGCTCAACAAAGCTGTCTGGGCCAAAGGAATAAGGAATGTCCCTTATCGAATCCATGTGTGGTTGTCCAGAAAACGAAATGAGGAAGAAGATTCGCCCAACAAGCTCTACACTCTGGTGACCTATGTACCTGTTACCACATTCAAAAATCTACAAACAGTCAATGTGGATGAGAACTAGCTGCTGGTTTTCAAATAAAGTTACAAAACCAAAAAACAAACAAACAAGTAACAGTTTTACAGAAGCAGGAGTAAAATACAGCTCTTCTTCTAAGAGGTTTAATGTTCATTTATGTGTTTATCATTTCATATTAATCCTGTAACATTTTTCAGTTTGCTCATAGAACTAATGTAGGTAAATATGTATCTGAAACTTTGTATGTCAAATACATCTCCACACTCAGTTCTTAGTGACAGAAATAACTCTGACTTAATCTTGAATATATACATATATATGTATGTATATATATGAAAAAAGCTGTCTTTAATTGATTTTAGGCAAAATCCCAGCTCTGTAGGCATCTGAGGCCTTCACGTGTTCAGTCATCTCTAAAAACAGTTAAAATAACCCTTCTTCATTGAGCATTATGATGTTGATAAAGGGGCAAAATGCAAATGAGTAACAATAGAGACTGTCTAAATTAAGAATTTTGTTTTCATAAAATATATGACCTTGGGTTTAATTATAATCTTAGAAATTTTTTATTGATTCCACTTTAAAAAGATACACAGTTTATATATCAATCTGAGGGAGCCCCTCTAAAGAACGTACGTGTGTCCTGCTGATCATGAAGGAATTTAGGAAGTATTATCATAGATACGCTATTGCTGTTCCTTAGTGTTATGAACCTGTTCCTTATGTTGTGAGCGTAGATTCTTCACACACATGAGAAAATTAGAGGCAGATGAGCTTACTCATATCGAAATAGTTATTAAAAAATTAATCAACAAAAGAAATAGCTTAGTAACTAGCCAGAGGTATCAGTTTACACATGTTATAGAAAAAAAATCCAAACATCAATAAAGGTTTTGATGCATACTTGTCTTTCCTTTAGATCCATACTGTCTCAAAGTAAGTATGTTTTTTAAAAAAATGTTTTGGTACTCTTAATATCTCCTATATCCTGTCCTGCACCTAAACAGCTGGTTAGTGCTAGAAAAACAACCCACAAACTTACCCATGGGCCTCATCTTAAATTCATAAGCCCAAATCAATAGGACCTCATGTCTGCCTGGCCTTCTTAGTCACCTCTCTGCAATCCTGCTTTGCTTTCCCCACTTCCGCACTCTCCAAAAGGACTATTGCTATTTTTATTTCTCCTCTTGTCTGTTTAAGGCCCCAGTACACACATATGACCCTCTCCTCTAACCCCTCATCTTCTCTCCCCTCACCCTCCCTTCTTCTCTGCTCTCAGCAGGCACCTAGTCTCCTGTTATACTGAATGAACTGAAGTAACTTCATGCCAAGGTCTCCCCTCCACATCACCAGGGCAGCAGTCTCACCTCCCCGGGGCCCAGTCTTCCTTCCTATCACTGGACAAAGGGCTTCTGCTCCTGCCGATGGCACAGTCTCCACCTGCGGACATGCTCCCGTCCCTCTTACTGCTCTAATTTGAGTGTTTTCTGTGTCAAATTTCTCCCTCCACCATTGTACAAACTCTTACCTGCCAAAGAAATCTCCACAGTCCCTACATGATCCTCTGAGTACCACTTCTTTATTTGCTCCCATTGGAGCAAGACTTCTGGGAAACAATTTACTCACCCACTCACACCCTCACCTCCAATCTCCTTGAGATCATTTTTTTTTTCACACTAGAAGAGAAGGTTTAATAATTGATA